TATTAACCTAGTTACTAAGTCCCCGTGACCCTCCAAGTAGGGCTTGGGAGCAGCAATGGGGCAAGCTTTGGGGAAACGCAGTGTTAGCATTCAGTTCACGGCCACACTTCCTGAAAAAGATTGGTAGTTCGGTCCGTGCTATTCGGACCCCCCAGGCCTCCTACGCTGCCTCAGAGGTTTCACCTGCATGTGCCAAGTTGCTGGAACGGAAATTTCCTGCTGACCAAGATATACCTGCTGCGACGGAGGATGCAGGGTTTGACTTGGGGAGTCCCAAAAAAACAAGGGTCCCTTTTTTCTCGGGTACCCGTCAGAAATATAGGCCAGGGGATATGGGGACTTCCCTAAATTAGGGTACCTTTTTGGGAGTCCGTATAGTAAGGAATCGTATTATGATTTGGGGGTCTATATTCGGGTTCCCCTATTTATGGAAACTACCATATGTAGTTTTATGCACATTGTGATAGTTCACGAGATGCTTTTCTCTACGTCCCTGACACCTTAACAGAAAACGTCTTGAGTGACGGACCTCACTGATTCGGACCCGTTAACTTCGACGGTAGAACAGAACAACGTCGCAATGGCGGCAATGAGGCAAATACTTCGATGAGAGTTGCAGCTGGACTCATGGACCAGCAGAATGTCGGCGCAGGTTCCCACTTGGCATACGTTGAGGCTGCTTGGCTAGAGTTTGAGAAATGCATCGCATGCAGAATGTGAAGTCTAGGGCTTTGGACCAAGGTGCTTCCAAGATTTGTAGGTTCCCAGCGGCTGTCATCATAAGGCTGAATGCGTTGTGCGTATACGGGGGTGGGGGGGGGGGTGGGGGGCGAACCTTGAATGATGCCTGGCGCTCTTTTCAAAAAACTCAATGTAGCTGAAGATATTGCCTGACAAAAAAAACTTGTTGGACACAAATATAGGATAGAATCTTAAACCCTAATCCCTAAACCTACTCCCTACACCCTCTACATATATGTGTATATATATACACACCTATAAACATGCACATATGAGTATGTGTACATATATATATATATCTAATCACATATACACATATACATATATATATATGTGTGCGTGTGTATCCAGGATCTTTTCAAAGGTTTGTAAACAAGTCCGATTTTGAAGGTTGCCAACATATGGGGGTACTCACCAACCGTCTTCCCCTTTAATTCTCAATATGTCATGGAAAACACCTTTTTTTTTAAATACGGGGCACGCGATGACTCCGATGGCAAACATGTCAGAGGCTTTGGAGTACTCACCCTCCTCGGCAGGGCACTTGGCAGAGTATCTTCCGCGGTGGTGGGTTGGAGACTTCTTAAAATCCGAGGCCCCATTTACGCACCAAAAAGCTATATATGTATATATATACATATATAGCCTTTCTGGAAGCCGGTCTCACATTGCGACAATTCGAGGCGGGACTGTTTCGCATGCTGGCTGACTGAGCCTGTGAAGTTTAATTGTTCTATCAAAGATGCTCAAATTGGGGGGGAACACAGGTGTATACAAGGGATGTCAGACGTGACATGAGGTCCGCATTTAGGGATCACATGGAGACGGTGTTGAGAAACTCCTACAAGAGGATTTGACTCACATTTGAGCAGGCCGTGCCGGATGCCACTTCCTTTTCAGGCGATGTGCGAATAGGAGCCCATTTGGGCGAATCAGGTAACAGGACTTCTATGCAACCGCAAGTCATTCCAGAAGCCGAGTGGTTTCTTTCTGCAGACGCTTCAGAGTTGTTTAGGTCTTCAGGTTTGGGACAAACCCCGAGACCCCGAGCAGATGCCTGTGCCCTTCAAGTTGCCAACTCGCGAGCAGAAGAACTGACTAGAATGTGTGTCGGTATGTTCTACATTTGTCAAACTTCCACATCACGTCTGCGGCAGGTTGTATCCCCTAGCTGCGCTGAGCTCTGAGTATGTATGACCCAAGCAACTGTAGGCATTTGGGCTTGCAGGGGGTCCTTGAAGAGGTTCTGAGCCCAGTCACGAATTCGTCCGACGTCTTTTGAACTTCTGGTCAACAGTCTGAGCAGTCCCTACATGCCTTCAAGAACTGCGCGCATCTGGGCTGCGGTTGAAGTGAGTGATCTTGCGAGACTTTGTCGCAAGATTTGCCCAACGATTATCTTCGACGTTGCCAGCCGCCCGACTCTCATCGTGCCTGTTTGCGGCAACTTCGACCTCTAGGTTGCCAGCACGTGTTGCCACAGCGCTTCTCCTGTTCATTGTTGGCAGAAAACAGCTGCACGATCTCCATGTGATCATTACTAGCTGCGAGGATGGCAGCTGTGTCGCCCTCCCGATTGACGGAGTCCTTCTTGGCACCAGCCCGCAAGAGCAGCTTTGCGATCTCCACGTGGCCATTCTCAGCTGCGAGCATGAGGGCCGTGTTGCCCCCACGGTTTTGAGCGTCCGTATTGGCACCAGATTGTACAAGCAGTTTTGCGATCTCTACGTAACCGTTTGCAGCTGCGAGCATGAGGGCGGTACGGAACCCCCGCTTGGCACGGTCCTTGTTGGCGCCAGCTTCCAAAAGTAGCCGTACTATCTCTAAATGGCCATTCTTAGCTGCATGCATAAGAGCTGTGCCGCCCCAGTTCTCATGGTCGCTGTTGGCACCAGCCTCCAAAAGCAGCTGTACGACTGTCACATGGCGATTCTTAGCTGCGAGCAGAAGGGCTGTGTCCATTTGTCGATTCTCTCGGTCCTTGTCAGCACCCGCCTCCAAAAGCAGACGCGTGATCTGCACGTGACCATTCTCAGCTGCAAGCATAAGAACTGTGTCACCGCCCCTGTTCCTCATGTCCTTGTCAGCACCAGCTTCCAACAGCATTTGGGCGATCTCCATATGGCCATGCTCAGCTGCGAGCATGAGTGCCGGGTTGCCCCTGCAAAAGAAATTCTCATCTACAGTCACGCCAGCTTGGAGAAGCATCTTCGCAACCTCCAGGTAGCCTTGCTTGCAAGACTCGGCAAACTCTTCTTGGGCTCTTTTGCGCTGCACATCGGTGGAAGGAGATAACAGGACCAATTCTAACTCAAGCGGGCCATCTATCTTGATGGAACTGTCCAGTGCACTGCCATTTTGAATCAACCGTTGCATGCAAATCGGGAAGCCGTGCAGTCTACGCAGTGAAGCCTTCAACTCCTGCACATCCGAGATTCCTTCCATGTCAATGTCTGGCAGCTCTTGCCCTGACATTCGCCATATACGAAGCATTCTGGCAAGAGGCTCAACACATGCAGCGCGTGTTGAAGAATTGTGATCTGCGCCTATGCTTGCTTGCTAGCGCTTCCCAATGTAGGTTCTATCTACAGACTTTAGGGCCCAATGTAGGTATACTTGGATCGCTAGGGTTAGGGGGAGGGGATTGACGGCCAAGTTTGCAGAGTTGCTTCGGTGCTGCTGGAGCGCCTGAATTGCTTGGAGCTTCATGGGTGACAGGTGGGGCGCTGTAGTGTCTAAGGTTTAAGGGTTAGGGTTTAAGGTTTAGGCTTTAGGGTTTAAGGTTTAGGGTTTAAGGTTCAGGACTTAAGGTGTAGGGAATTTAGGGTCTAGGTCTTTAGGGTTTTGGACAATGATAGCTGGGATATGTGCGCAGGATGACTCCTGTTGAAACTGTGCAGTTCAACCCTTCATACAAAGACCCTACGTACTTAACACTGAAACATATCGGACACATGCAAGCTTCCAAACAGGCAGTTTCCCCAAATAGGGAGACTCAAATATAGACTCCAAAATACGATAATTCTAACCCGTAATTCTTGGAAACCCCCAACAATTCATCCCAGAGAATCCGCATCAGGCACCCCCCCCACCCCCCCGGGAAAACGCCCGATGTCAAGGAATCCTTCATGAGCTATAGTCAAAAGTCCTGGTATCCCCCTCAATAAGCCCTATAATACTCCCTTGTATAATCCCCTTTCAGGAGTTTTCACTCTAGCTCACATGACTAGTGTTCTCTGCTGCCGGATCCGAGTAAGACCGCATCCCTCCTAAACCACGTGAAAACTGAACAGGAAGATATAATGTGAATCCCCACTAGAAGCGAGAGCATACCCATCGAAACAGCTATATACCCTAAACCCTAAACTGCTACATGAACCTTCACAGGAGCTCAGCTCCTATGACATGTTCAACTTGATTCCCCGCTCTCCTCCAAAAAATAGTTTCCACTTCTCAAGTGGCATAATGGAGTTAAGGGTCTAGGGTTTAGGGTTCCCAGACCCCCAAAGGGATCTAAAAATTAGATCCCCTAGAACCATATGGGAAATCATATAAGGATTATATACGAGTTATAATGGGTCTATATAGGGGATCTAA